TTGTCAATCAAAATTGACATCATCAATAATAATTCCTAAAATACTAAAAGTACCCTCCAAATTTAAGTTTTATAATTCAAACGTATGTTCTTCTTTCCCTCTAAAATTTATTTCATCTCTCATTTATCATTTCTCTATTTTATATTTCATATTTAAACTAATATTTTCCAAATTAAATGTTTAATTTCACAATCTATCAAATTAATAAGTTAAACACTAGAAATTTTTGTTTATTAAACAATATATTAATGTAAATCTACATTTCATTTATCAATTCAGGTTTGCTCCCAAATCCATCATTAACACCATCAGAGTTAACTACCATCTATTGTCGCCTCCACACCACAGAAACCACCACCATCTCCTCCTCCTCCTCTCTCTCTTCACACACATACATAGAGCACNAAGTTTGCTCCCAAATCCATCATTAACACCATCAGAGTTAACTACCATCTATTGTCGCCTCCACACCACATAAACCACCACCATCTCCTCCTCCTCCTCTCTCTCTTCACACACATACATAGAGCACCACCACTGCCTAGTAATGGAGTAACCCCACCACCTTCATCTCCATTTTTGCCTCCACAACCACACAACATACATACCATCACCATAGTTTAGCAACCCCACCATATTATTCTCCTTCATCTCCATTTCCCACCTCCTCAACCACTATACATAGAGCATAGTAACGGAGTAACCCCACCACCTTAAATCTCCACTTTCACCTCCATAAACCACACAATACATTCACCACCAGCATAGTCCAACAACCCCATCACATTCTTCTCTTCCACCTCCACAAACACACCACACATACAACCCAATAACCACCACTATCAAAATCGAACCCTAAACCCCTTTCCCAAATTGAACAACAAACACACAATGTTAAGCTTCAAATCTTTTCGATTTTTTTAGATTTTTTAAACTTTGGATCCTTTCAATTTCTCTCTCCCTTCTCCTTCTCTTGACGTTATGTGCTTGGGTGGGGTTAACATTTTGGATGGGATGGCTATTGGAGGGTGTTGTAGTGGTAGGGGAGGGACTAACAATTTGCAACAATTTTTTTGTGTAATTTTAGGCTGGTTATCCCTCTCTTCTTTGTCTCACTTTGTATATATATATATATATATACAGACAAAAAGAGAGAGAGAGAGTGAGGGAGAGAGAGGTGTTGGGGGTGTTGAAGTGNTCCTCAACCACTATACATAGAGCATAGTAACGGAGTAACCCCACCACCTTAAATCTCCACTTTCACCTCCATAAACCACACAATACATTCACCACCAGCATAGTCCAACAACCCCATCACATTCTTCTCTTCCACCTCCACAAACACACCACACATACAACCCAATAACCACCACTATCAAAATCGAACCCTAAACCCCTTTCCCAAATTGAACAACAAACACACAATGTTAAGCTTCAAATCTTTTCGATTTTTTTAGATTTTTTAAACTTTGGATCCTTTCAATTTCTCTCTCCCTTCTCCTTCTCTTGACGTTATGTGCTTGGGTGGGGTTAACATTTTGGATGGGATGGCTATTGGAGGGTGTTGTAGTGGTAGGGGAGGGACTAACAATTTGCAACAATTTTTTTTTGTAATTTTAGGCTGGTTATCCCTCTCTTCTTTGTCTCACTTTGTATATATATATATATATATACAGACAAAAAGAGAGAGAGAGAGTGAGGGAGAGAGAGGTGTTGGGGGTGTTGAAGTGTAGAGAGGAAGGCAAAAATTAGGGTTAGGGTTAGGGATAAGACTTAGGGTTTGAGTTTGAATTTGTGTTAAAGAGGAGGCAAAATGGTCTTTTTATTAAGATTTTTAACTCTGTCTAACTAATGGGGTTTCAATTCAATTTTTAAAATGTGAGGAAATATCCGTGTAATAAAACTAAATGTCATGATTATTTTATCCTAATCTAATTATACCATTAATCCAAAAAGCAGATAAGGCCACACATGTTGTGGACCCACTTCACCTGTGAGCTTGAACAGGCCGTTACAGCTTAACACAGCCCTAGTACAGATTTAGGGGACACAATTGTGGTCACTATAGACTAGAGAGAGAGTGAGAGTTGCATTCCAAGTTCCAACTGCCAACATTTATAGAGAGCAAGAGAGAGAAAATGAGGCACATATTGAAAACTCTGCACAAGAGAGGACTGCAACTTCGAATTATTCTTCTCTGCATGATTGCATTTATAATCCTTGGTAGTTCTTTGGACCACATCACCCACCCCCCCTCCCCCTTTCTCTCTCTCCCCCTCCTTGATAGTTCTTTGGACTATATCGCCCCTCCCCTCTCTCTCTCTCTCTCTCTCTCTCTCAACAAGTATACCCTACAAGCTATATAAATTTTATAGAATCCATGTACATCCTCGAGGCTGCGCGACCAGCCCAGAAGGCAAACGGAAGAGAGAGACAGAGATAGTATAAAAAGCAAAAGAGCAGGCCCTTGACAAGCCTTCTACACGTGATAAAGAAAACACCAAAAGCACTTGCATGCGTGTATAAAAGATTCATCATCATCTCTCTCTCTCTCTAGCTGTATGTAATCTGAATCCCCCACAAAACCCATCTTTTTATCTCCACTTTGTAACTCTGCACTTTCTTTTCCAGTCCCATCTTCCATCTTTTTTGAGCCTCCAGGTTAATGATTAAAGCCCATTTACTAGCTTTTGTAGATTCAAGTTTAGCTCTTTATAGCCTCAGCTCTGAGTTGGTTCATTGGTTACTGAGTTCGAAGTTCAAATCTTTGGGGGTCATTGGTCTTCATGGTGCTTGGATTTCCATTTGGGTAATCTTCAGATGAAGATTTTAGTGAGGTTTTCAATGTTCATTCCTTTTATTTGTATACGTTACTTAGTACTTGTGGCTTTTGTTTCTTTCTAGGTGTTTTTATTCTCTTCTTGAGCAGTCATATTTGGTTTTCACATTTATTTATGCTTTTGTATATATATATATATTTCTTTGTTGTGTCTTATTCACTTGGATTTGTTGACCCATTTTTGCGATTTGTCTCAGAGGAGTTTGGTTTTGGTTTGGGGGGGGCAAGGTGAGGGGAGGGTTTTTGTCTTCTGGATATTTCTACTATTTGATAGAATTCATCATATATCATATATATATATATAATATAATGTATATGTATATATTATTTGTATGATAGACATCTTTGGATGTGCAAATATCTTTTCTTCTGGATTCAAGTTTTTTGGGTTTCCAACAGAAGCATCGAAGAGGGTTTGGGTGTTGGTTAGTTTTGTCTCTACATGTATGTTTTCTTCTCTCTTCAAAGCTGAGTATTTCTGGAATTTTTTTTGGGGTTTTCTGTATGAAGACTGCTTTGGTGGGTCTCTAAGATCGAGTATCCACATAGAGAAACCGAGTCTTTTTATATTTACCCTTTTACTTTTCGTCTGATCTTGATGCCCCTATCATAATATTTTCTTTTTTTCAATTTGGATCATCTTGCTGACATATGTTTCTGGATTTTCAGTACAAATAGCCTTAAATCTGAGAAGGGTAATGAGAGTGAATCACTAGAAGTGAAGATTGTATTTAAGTGTACCATCTGGTGAAAGATTTTTTCACTCGCTTTCAGTGAGCAAAAGATCACCATGCCTATAAGGCAAATGAAAGAGAGCCCAGAACAACACTTTGTAATCAAACCTCAGTCGCAGAACTCCATGAATGCAGTTCAGAAGCACACCAGAACTGCTCAAAGTGGCAAAGGCCCACCAACCCTTACCCAAGAACCCCAGAACAACAAAGCCCTTAACCAAACTTCACCCCCATCAAAAAATAGAANCAACAAGTATACCCTACAAGCTATATAAATTTTATAGAATCCATGTACATCCTCGAGGCTGCGCGACCAGCCCAGAAGGCAAACGGAAGAGAGAGACAGAGATAGTATAAAAAGCAAAAGAGCAGGCCCTTGACAAGCCTTCTACACGTGATAAAGAAAACACCAAAAGCACTTGCATGCGTGTATAAAAGATTCATCATCATCTCTCTCTCTCTCTAGCTGTATGTAATCTGAATCCCCCACAAAACCCATCTTTTTATCTCCACTTTGTAACTCTGCACTTTCTTTTCCAGTCCCATCTTCCATCTTTTTTGAGCCTCCAGGTTAATGATTAAAGCCCATTTACTAGCTTTTGTAGATTCAAGTTTAGCTCTTTATAGCCTCAGCTCTGAGTTGGTTCATTGGTTACTGAGTTCGAAGTTCAAATCTTTGGGGGTCATTGGTCTTCATGGTGCTTGGATTTCCATTTGGGTAATCTTCAGATGAAGATTTTAGTGAGGTTTTCAATGTTCATTCCTTTTATTTGTATACGTTACTTAGTACTTGTGGCTTTTGTTTCTTTCTAGGTGTTTTTATTCTCTTCTTGAGCAGTCATATTTGGTTTTCACATTTATTTATGCTTTTGTATATATATATATATTTCTTTGTTGTGTCTTATTCACTTGGATTTGTTGACCCATTTTTGCGATTTGTCTCAGAGGAGTTTGGTTTTGGTTTGGGGGGGGCAAGGTGAGGGGAGGGTTTTTGTCTTCTGGATATTTCTACTATTTGATAGAATTCATCATATATCATATATATATATATAATATAATGTATATGTATATATTATTTGTATGATAGACATCTTTGGATGTGCAAATATCTTTTCTTCTGGATTCAAGTTTTTTGGGTTTCCAACAGAAGCATCGAAGAGGGTTTGGGTGTTGGTTAGTTTTGTCTCTACATGTATGTTTTCTTCTCTCTTCAAAGCTGAGTATTTCTGGAATTTTTTTTGGGGTTTTCTGTATGAAGACTGCTTTGGTGGGTCTCTAAGATCGAGTATCCACATAGAGAAACCGAGTCTTTTTATATTTACCCTTTTACTTTTCGTCTGATCTTGATGCCCCTATCATAATATTTTCTTTTTTTCAATTTGGATCATCTTGCTGACATATGTTTCTGGATTTTCAGTACAAATAGCCTTAAATCTGAGAAGGGTAATGAGAGTGAATCACTAGAAGTGAAGATTGTATTTAAGTGTACCATCTGGTGAAAGATTTTTTCACTCGCTTTCAGTGAGCAAAAGATCACCATGCCTATAAGGCAAATGAAAGAGAGCCCAGAACAACACTTTGTAATCAAACCTCAGTCGCAGAACTCCATGAATGCAGTTCAGAAGCACACCAGAACTGCTCAAAGTGGCAAAGGCCCACCAACCCTTACCCAAGAACCCCAGAACAACAAAGCCCTTAACCAAACTTCACCCCCATCAAAAAATAGAAGAAGAAGAAGGGGGAAAGGTGGCCGGAAATCCGATCAGGGCGACGTTTGTGCACGGCCAAGTTCGAGGCCTTGCACTGAGGCGAATAAACCAGTCTCGGTTCAACCAGCCATGGCTGTTGTGGCAGATATGCGAAATGGGTCTACTGAGAATGGGGCCAACTTGTGTGGAGTGGAGATGGATTTGCCTTCATCAAGCAAGTGTTTCAGTTTTGCTCCTAGGCCTGGGTTTGGGCAAATTGGGACGAAATGTATTGTAAAGGCCAACCATTTCTTTACACAGTTACCAGACAAGGACTTGATCCAATATGATGTAAGTTTATGTTAAGCTGAAATTTTGTATGATTATGGTGTTGTTTTCTTCATAAATCTGGTGTTACTTTGCAGACGGATAAAAGCTGATACACTTCTTTGTGCTCATTGTCCTATAGCTGTAATAGCATTAATGAGATTTGAATTTGGCCACTAATATTGTTTTTAATGTTGTGTATTATGTATATACCCTTTTCAACCATCTGTGTCCTGTTCCTGGCAGGTTGCTATAAATCCTGAAGTGGCATCAAGAAATGTGAACAGAGCTATCATTGCAGAGCTGGTGAAACTGTATAAAGAATCTGACTTGGGGATGAGATTACCTGCTTATGATGGCAGAAAGAGTCTGTACACAGCTGGTGAGCTTCCTTTTGGTTGGAAGGAGTTCACCATTAAACTTGTAGATGAGGATGGAAACAATGGTCCCAAGTAAGAATTTAGTCAATTTACTGCTCTATTGACACCATCAATTCTTATCTTTTGGTTCCATCAGGGTTTTCTTTTCTCTAATGGCTGAAGTTATAAATTTAGGAAATTATGTGGAAAACATTAAAAGAAAAGGAAACTTTTATCACGCTATTTGTAATATGTTTCAAGTTTTACTTTGCTTCATCTGTTTAATACCTGTGGAATGGAGTGGATTGAACATTTGCTTAAATTTCAGAAGGGATAGGGAGTACAAAGTGGTCATCAAGTTTGTGGCACGGGCAAATATGTATCATTTGGGCCAATTTTTGGCTGGTAAGCGTGTAGATGCTCCTCAGGAAGCTCTTCAAATTCTTGACATCGTTTTGAGAGAGCTCTCAACAAAGAGGTTGATACTTTGTATGCTTGAGATTGTCTTGACATTGGTATTGGTGTCAATTAATGAAATCCTATTAAATTTGAGTTCTTATTTGTTGTACTATGCATTTTAAAAGGTACTGCCCTGTTGGACGGTCCTTCTTTTCACCTAATATTCGTAAACCACAACGGCTGGGTGATGGCTTGGAGGCATGGTGTGGATTCTACCAGAGTATAAGACCTACCCAGATGGGCTTGTCCCTTAATATTGGTAGTGAAACAAAAAACTGGAGATTTCAAATAAAAATTCTATCATGAGCATCATTATCATCATCATGTCTCTGTTCTCTCTGTCTTATTTTGCAGATATGGCTTCAGCTGCATTTATTGAGGCTATACCTGTGATGGATTTTGCCGCTCAACTTCTTGGCAAAGATGTGTTATCTAGGCCTTTGTCTGATTGTGACCGTGTGAAGGTAACTGGCCCTTTTATTTGATGATATAGGCAGGTTTATAAACTCTGTAATTTAGAATTTTACTTTGTGCTGTCTTCCAGATCAAGAAGGCCCTCAGAGGCGTTAAAGTTGAAGTAACTCACAGGGGAGATGTACGAAGAAAGTATCGAGTTTCAGGATTAACATCTCAACCAACAAGAGAACTAGTGTAAGATTTTTGTAGGTTACAATAAAAAATGAGTATAAAAACAAAGATACCTGTTCCCAATACAATTATCCCACCTTTGGTCCTGTTTCACTGTATCAGCTCTACTGAGAGGTGTATCGATATTGACACTTAAGCCATCATATCGTTGCCACCACTTGAACCTCATTCTCTTGTTTCTCTTCTATATGGACTTGTGACGATCAGGTTAATTTCCAATTACTTATATGCTAATTTTGCCCAGGTTTCCTGTGGATAACAACTCAACCATGAAGTCAGTTGTTGAATACTTTCAAGAAATGTATGGCTTCACAATTCAGCATACTCATCTTCCTTGCCTTCAAGTTGGAAACCAGAGGAAGGCAAACTATTTACCAATGGAGGTGCTGCAGTTCCTGATAATTTATACAATGTCGTTCTCTTTTTCTTTTTAACTCTTATGGCACCTAATGCTATTGGTTTTGCAGGCCTGCAAGATTGTTGAGGGCCAAAGATATACGAAAATGTTGAGTGAGAAACAAATCACCTCGCTTCTGAAAGTTACATGCCAAAGACCCAGGGATCGAGAAAATGACATTGTCCAGGTATTTTGTGTTGTTAAACCATGCCTATCATTCGACCCTTTTTGACAATAATGTGGCGGATATATCTCTTTTTGTGTAATTTGTTGCTGGAAAATTCAGAGAAAAGACATTGGGATGTCATCTTGCATTACATAGCCTATATGAGGACGTGGTAATATCTTGATCATGCCACGGGAAGGCATTACAATATCAGAGTTGAAACAATTTTAGGTTTTGAATTTGACTTTGCCACACTCAACCTTCTGCCCTAAATCCATTATTCTTGTTAAGAATCATGAAGTAAGGTTAGATATTTAGTAATTTCACACATGACTTGAGCAGGACTAAGAAGAATTTATATATCATAATGCACTGAACATAGTGTAGCATATACTTGTCTCAAACAAGTGTCAATGTACCCTTCCTGACTTTCTGCCAAAGAAACCTCGAATATTTTTTAGCCTTTTACCTATGGGATAGAATCACAGTTAGGAATTAAATTCCCTAAGCTAGTACAACAACATAACAAGAAAGTACTTTCAACTAAACCACACATACAAGAACACATAGATCTGTGGAGAACTGCAAGATTGGGAAAAAAACACGGAGCCACGGCGAATTCAGTTTGAATGGAGCAAGAGTACTAAGTGAACAACAGAGGAAGCTGCCCTATATGCTTATTACGTAGTGGCAACAAACAAATGCAAAGGAATTAGAAAAGTATCCTCTACCAAACATGATCTACAAAATTTTGTGACACACATTGGCTGGATGTCCAGTATTTGGCGGGATGTCGGGTACTATCAAGCAGATAATGCAGGGCCTAACATTCTGATATATTTGGGAGTTGACTAGGCTTGAGTGGATAATAATTCATAATCTGTGCTCTTTCAAATGCAGACGGTTCAACACAATGCTTATGATCAGGATCCATATGCGAAGGAGTTTGGGATCAAAATCAGTGAAAAACTAGCTTCTGTGGAGGCACGGGTTCTTCCTGCTCCTTGGGTACAGCTCATCTTAAAAGCTTCCATTTATTTTCTTAAAAGTATGTAGACACTAACATTATTATCTGATGACACTTACTTGTAGCTTAAATATCATGAAGCTGGGAAGGAAAAGGATTGTTTGCCCCAAGTTGGTCAGTGGAATATGACGAACAAGGTATTTTCCTTTTGCGTTTTGGTAATATACTCAAATCATGATTTTTGCTTTCATATGGGCATGACCAACGTACCTTTATTAGTTTGTTGCGAATAAAATGGCTTTACCTTATCCTATGTCATACATGGGGCTGGTTCAATAAACAATTTTGGGGCCCTAAGTGAGATATTTAAATGTGGCCTTATGAAAGTAATCGTTCAATTATGAAATCTTTACTTGAATTTTTCATATTTTTTATCAACAAACTGATCAAGGGCTCTTTTTTGAGATTGAATTAATTGATCTGTTTTCCTCTATTTTGTTTTTGGTTTCTCATATTCCGATTCTTCTTTTTTAGTTGACATGTTCAAGAGTAAAATTATTCTCGTCAACAAAATGAATCTCAACACAAGAAAAAACTACTAAAAGACAAAAATCAAATATGTTACGATTCTCAATAATGACAAAACATTAACACCTAATCAATATAAAATTGTGTATGAACCTTATTCATCTCCCAAACTCTATATAAATTAACTTTCTCAAGAAACACTTACTTAGATAGAACTAAACTGATAGAAACAAAAAAAATTATAAATTTATAAATTAAAAAATTCAATACCGTGTACAGGGAGAAATGAACAGACATATGGATTGAGGGTGGGAGTGAGATGGCATACCGTCTAAGGAAGGCGATTTATTTTATGTATAAGAATGCTATTTTTTTATATGTTGTGAAATTAAAATGTGTGTGTGTGCGAGTGAGAGAGAGAGAGGGTACTTTGTGGTGAATTTCTGGGATGATATTAATGAGGAGAGGGGAGTTTTTTTTTTTTTTTTTTATGATTGATGTGACCTTTGGGGGGAGAGAATATTAAATTTACAAGGGATGAGAGAGACAAAGAGTGTGGGTTTTGTGGTCCTAGAATTCTTTAATTTTTGGGCCAGATTAGCAAACAAGAAGAGAACAAAATATATAATTTGGGGCCCTAAGCAGGCATTTTAATGGCTTATAGTCTGGCCCGGCCCTGGTCATACACAGTGGCAGTAAGATGGGCAAAGTTAAAGGATTTTGTTATACTGTTAGTACTCCTATGTAACTGACAGAAGAAAACCAAACATGCCTAAAATCTCTCTTACTCCCCTCACATGACAGAAAGTGATCAATGGAATGACTGTTAGCCGGTGGGCATGTATCAACTTCTCCCGGAGCGTGCAAGAGAGTGTTGCTCGTGGATTTTGTCACGAACTGGCTCAAATGTGTCAAGTATCTGGCATGGTAATTTTTCTTCCTTTGATTTTGTTCTTTCCTCCTGTTCCATATCTTTTGGGGTTTGTAGATCCTGCAGTGCTGCCTTTCGCTCTTAAACCAAATTGTAATCAGCTGCGTTTTTACAGGAATTTATTTCAGAACCAGTGATTCCAATTTACACAGCCAGGCCTGAGCAAGTAGAGAAAGCTTTGAAACATGTTTATAATGCATGCATGAACAAACTCAAAGGAAAAGAGTTGGAGCTGCTATTAGCTATTTTGCCTGACAATAACGGGTCCCTTTATGGTGTGTAGTACTTCAACGCGAGGTTTGGAATTGATTTGACATTGATTATAAACTCTTGCTTGACGTTTTAAATTTAACTGGATTCCATGGTCTCAGGTGATCTAAAGCGAATATGTGAAACTGATCTGGGGTTGATATCCCAATGCTGTCTTACAAAGTATGTCTTCAAGATTAGCAAGCAGTATTTGGCTAATGTGTCCTTGAAGATCAATGTTAAGGTGTGATTCATTGTTAGGACTGTACAGGAACTTGTATTCGAATTTTTTATTGAACTTTGATATTTTATGCGTGTCACACCAACAAAGTTTTTTGTAAATTGTTCAAGGTGGTCCAAAACAGGTGGTTGCTTACCTTCTAGTCAAACTTCTGTCTGGGATGTCATACTTTCTGACAATACAACATATATTCGTTTCTCTATCAAAACATTTGGTACCCCTACGACTGTCTGATTCGTTTCTCTTCTTGGAGCAGATGGGTGGCAGAAACACTGTTCTTTTGGATGCTATCAGCTGCAGAATACCATTAGTTAGTGACATACCAACCATCATATTTGGAGCAGATGTGACTCATCCAGAGAATGGAGAAGACTCCAGTCCCTCAATAGCTGCTGTACTGTTCCTTGGCTTGAATCATGTTTGTCAGAATACTTTTCTTGCATGGATCATTATAAACTTGGTTGCTAAAACATCATGTTTGACTATAGGTGGTAGCTTCTCAGGATTGGCCTGAAGTCACAAAGTATGCCGGATTGGTTTGTGCTCAAGCTCATCGACAGGAACTCATACAAGACTTGTACAAAACGTGGCATGATCCTGTCCGAGGCGCAGTTAGTGGTGGTATGATCAGGTAGCAAACTCTTCCCCTTGCTCTGTACATTCTTTTGGTGGAAGACTTGACTTATTTAACTTTTTTTGTTGGGTGGCTATCGGTTGGTTCCCTTTTTTTTCCATCTCATTTCACTCTATGCAGGGATCTTCTTGTTTCTTTCCGAAAGGCAACTGGGCAAAAGCCTCAGAGGATTATATTTTATAGGTACACTCTTTGCCATTATGCTGTAGGTAGTGGAAATATTTCTATTATTATGTGGCCGTGCCAAGATGTCCATAACTCTTTTTTGTGGTCTTTGTTCGTTAGTGCTCTTCAAAATTCCATATACTTATTCTGTGTCTATCACTTCTTCATACCACCAAATCCTCAACCTACGCCACTTTTTTTTTTTTGTGGACGGGGGTTTGATACACTTCCTTGCTTCATGCCCATTTTTTTAACACTTTCACCCTCCCTTCTGCAATTGGTTTTTGGAAGGCACAGATCAATTCACATCATCTATAGTCTGCTATTAGTTACACCATCATTCTTACCACCACTAAACACAGTTGCAACTTGCACCGGCGGTTCAGCCAACCCTTTCTGCAGTGGCTGTCTTTGTTTTCTTTGCTCCACAGTCATTGTTACTCCTATATAATGAACTATCATTGACATGCATGGCTGCAATCTTTGCCCCTTTCATCATTGACATTACGGTGGGTAGAAGATGATGCATTTTGTCTCCCTTTTGTGGCTTAGCCTTCTCTCTCCAGTTTCAAAATCTCTAACCAAACGATGCCTCAGTGTACTGCAGTAAATTTATGTATAACCGGTGTTTAACTGAAAAAGAGAAGCATGTTGAAATTAAGTGAAATATTAAATCATTGAGTTTTTAGCATTAATAACACAAGAATGAAACAAGATAATTGTGGGAAACCAATTGACATGTTATCCTTCAGGAATGCATCTGATTATTCACGGAGGCATCCACCTCACTTTTTTATTGTTTACCTTATCCGGTCTATGTGATTGTTCCGTGTCCCTTATGCATACTTGTACCAAATGAATTTGTAGGTTTATAGACTTAATTGCTACATGCCTAAATGGGTTCCGCATTGATAACTTATTCCATGATTATAGCATAGTGCTAATACAAAAACTATTCGAGTAGGGATGGCGTGAGTGAAGGGCAATTTTATCAAGTTCTACTTTACGAATTAGATGCAATTCGGAAGGTTAGTGTTCTTCTATTTTATTGGCATTATTGCTTATAGTTTTTGGAAGGAAGTCACAAAAAAAAAAAAAAGAAAAGAAATCTGTGGCCTTATCAACATCATCTGATGCAGGCTTGTGCCTCGTTAGAACCAAACTATCAACCTCCAGTTACATTTATTGTGGTACAAAAACGGCATCACACCCGATTATTTGCCAACAACCATAGGGACAGGAACAGCACAGACAAGAGTGGAAACATATTACCTGGTATTGATTGCTCGTGAATAACTATGTTCTCTATCTGTTGTCTGTACATAATGCTAGTAAACATGTATCCTGACCTGTGTCTTCTTTTCATACTCATGTGATGATATGGTTTGTTATTTCAGGTACTGTGGTTGATTCAAAAATCTGTCATCCAACAGAGTTTGATTTTTATCTATGCAGCCATGCTGGTATTCAGGTGAAAACATGGGGGTTTTTCTTTTACTGTGTTGGGTGATTAGAAAAGGTTTCACTTCTGACTACAAAATCCATGAAAGGCAACTCATTAGCAGAACAAATTGGCCATTTAACAGTTGCAAAGAATTTTTGTCCTTTTTATGTACTTCTATGTGGCGTCTGTGTGTGGGGGGGACTTGGAATTTTTAAGCTACATTTTTTTAGAAAAACTTCGTGGGCAAAGATTATAATTTCCTGTAGCTTGTTACGCATGGTGTCATATTTTTTGAATAGTTAGGGAATCATCACCTTTTTTGTAATTTGGCAGGGGACAAGTCGGCCAGCCCATTACCATGTGCTATGGGATGAGAACAATTTTACCGCAGATGGGATTCAATCATTGACAAACAATCTCTGCTACACATATGCGAGGTGCACACGTTCTGTGTCTGTTGGTAGGTGATCATTCCCTGTTGCATGGTTTTGCTTAAAAATTCGTGTGCATTCCCGCCCCATTGAGATCACGAACATATGGGAGCTCTTTGAAACTTTAACCCCCTAACACAAATGAAAAGAATAAAGAAACTTTGATATTCACTAATCTGGTTTGATTAAAATTGTTTTCCTATGATGAAATGGTGATTGTGTGCAGTTCCTCCTGCATATTATGCACATTTAGCTGCATTTCGAGCCAGATTCTACATGGAACCAGATATACTGGAGCATGGCTGTGGTGGTGGTGGTGGTCAAGGTGCTAAGAGTATTCAAGTAGCTGGAGAGTCTGGTGTACGGCCACTTCCAGCCCTTAAAGAGAATGTGAAGAGAGTAATGTTCTATTGTTAGAAATAGAGATAGGGAAAAGAGAAGGGAAGGGTTTTTTTTTTTTTTTTNAACCTCCAGTTACATTTATTGTGGTACAAAAACGGCATCACACCCGATTATTTGCCAACAACCATAGGGACAGGAACAGCACAGACAAGAGTGGAAACATATTACCTGGTATTGATTGCTCGTGAATAACTATGTTCTCTATCTGTTGTCTGTACATAATGCTAGTAAACATGTATCCTGACCTGTGTCTTCTTTTCATACTCATGTGATGATATGGTTTGTTATTTCAGGTACTGTGGTTGATTCAAAAATCTGTCATCCAACAGAGTTTGATTTTTATCTATGCAGCCATGCTGGTATTCAGGTGAAAACATGGGGGTTTTTCTTTTACTGTGTTGGGTGATTAGAAAAGGTTTCACTTCTGACTACAAAATCCATGAAAGGCAACTCATTAGCAGAACAAATTGGCCATTTAACAGTTGCAAAGAATTTTTGTCCTTTTTATGTACTTCTATGTGGCGTCTGTGTGTGGGGGGGACTTGGAATTTTTAAGCTACATTTTTTTAGAAAAACTTCGTGGGCAAAGATTATAATTTCCTGTAGCTTGTTACGCATGGTGTCATATTTTTTGAATAGTTAGGGAATCATCACCTTTTTTGTAATTTGGCAGGGGACAAGTCGGCCAGCCCATTACCATGTGCTATGGGATGAGAACAATTTTACCGCAGATGGGATTCAATCATTGACAAACAATCTCTGCTACACATATGCGAGGTGCACACGTTCTGTGTCTGTTGGTAGGTGATCATTCCCTGTTGCATGGTTTTGCTTAAAAATTCGTGTGCATTCCCGCCCCATTGAGATCACGAACATATGGGAGCTCTTTGAAACTTTAACCCCCTAACACAAATGAAAAGAATAAAGAAACTTTGATATTCACTAATCTGGTTTGATTAAAATTGTTTTCCTATGATGAAATGGTGATTGTGTGCAGTTCCTCCTGCATATTATGCACATTTAGCTGCATTTCGAGCCAGATTCTACATGGAACCAAATATACTGGAGCATGGCTGTGGTGGTGGTGGTGGTCAAGGTGCTAAGAGTATTCAAGTAGCTGGAGAGTCTGGTGTACGGCCACTGCCAGCCCTTAAAGAGAATGTGAAGAGAGTAATGTTCTATTGTTAGAAATAGAGATAGGGAAAAGAGAAGGGAAGGGTTTTTTTTTTTTTTTTTTNTGAATCCAGAATCTCAATGATTCTGTTGAGCTGTCTGAGACGTTTCCGAATTAATTTCAAGTCATCGAAGTCTCATTGTCACCAAATCGACTCAATAAGAGGTGTGATTTGATATTGAAGGACTATTGAGTCCTACATAATCAAGTTATTTTTTTATTATTCTTTTTTATTTTCCTCTTTGATTACGGTCAGGTAATACTTTTAGGACTTACGATTAGCTTAATATAAACCCCAAGTCCAAAATTTAGATGAATTCATAAACCGTGCTACATGTAAAGCCAAAGTAATAGTCGAGATCAATTACAATGTTGACACCGGTTCAGCAAGGCTAGCTTGACAGCCAGCATTAAAGCTTTCGTCTGCTCAGTCAGTATTCAGTTCTCACCGGCAGTACAATGGCTGTAGGTTACATGGGATTCTTAGCATCCATGGGCAGGCATATAAGATCATGCACTACACTGGCATAACAAAACCTTCAATTTTTATAAATGTTGCGAACGAGACCCTCAAACAAATGGCGGAACGAAAAAAAAAAAATACACAACACAAAACTATATGATTCAACTCAAAAACTAACATTTACAGGTGCAGTGCAGAGGTAAAAATTCACTATCAAGTTTGAAGCTTACAAAGAGTTGTCTGAAATAAAAACAATATAACACATAAATCAAACCGTCTTAATTTACAATGTTTATATAACCCAAATGCTCTTATTCCCTAACAAAATTAGAAAACTAGATTTAAAGGGTTCATATTTTTAAAGCTCCATCAATCTCCCAATGCGGGTCAATAGCTGAAATGGGTCGACCGGCCCATACCTTAATTTTATGGAGTAAGGCCCAAAAAAATTTTCAATTGAAATCTAACAAGATTCATGAAAGAACGGGTACGAATCAAAGTAGAATGCAAGACAACAATAATAATGTCAAACAAAACCAAAGTATATAAAGACTAAATAAGCATTTTTTTTTTCCCATGGACCTGATCTAAATACCAAGTAGTATCATTATGTCCTGCTTAAACAAAATCTTTTCCATGAAATTCCAGAATTTCTGCATGAATCCAACCCTTTAGAGGCACTTAATCCTCTTTCAAGCACAAGTCATCATTAACCTTACAAAGTTCAGCAATTTAACATGCTAGTTCTAAAATCAAATGTAGTCTGATAAGAATTAGTTATTTCTGGTTTACTATATCTTAATGTTGAAGAGGGCTATTTGAAGTGAACCTCATCATTGTAGAACACAATAATATAATTATGTATATGACAGAGAGTTCTCAAAGTGGTGCAGCACTGTAGTGCACAAATGTTTTTAATATTGTATGCATCATAATGCAAGTTGGTGATATCAATTAGCAGAACTCAACTGCAAAGAAGCTTAGGCTCTTAGAGCCTTTCCCTGAACACACATAATTAAGAAGTAACTACTAAGCACCTTTGTGTCATCAATAGTGAAACAATGTGATGTGGGACGAGTTACAGCAGCTTATATGAAGCAAGAAGACCGTCGCACGCCCAAAACACAATGAAAACCACAAAGTAATAACAAACGCAAAATGGGTAATAGAGATAGAATGGAGCAAGACTCATATCTTTTGATCAAAAATAGTCCAAGGAACAAAGCACACTACCTTCTTGTTTTAGCCTTCAAAATGACAATTTTANAATTTCAATTGAAATCTAACAAGATTCATGAAAGAACGGGTACGAATCAAAGTAGAATGCAAGACAACAATAATAATGTCAAATAAAACCAAAGTATATAAAGACTAAATAAGCATTTTTTTTTCCCATGGACCTGGTCTAAATACCAAGTAGTATCATTATGTCCTGCTTAAACAAAATCTTTTCCATGAAATTCCAGAATTTCTGCATGAATCCAACCCTTTAGAGGCACTTAATCCTCTTTCAAGCACAAGTCATCATTAACCTTACAAAGTTCAGCAATTTAACATGCTAGTTCTAAAATCAAATGTAGTCTGATAAGAATTAGTTATTTCTGGTTTACTATATCTTAATGTTGAAGAGGGCTATTTGAAGTGAACCTCATCATTGTAGAACACAATAATATAATTATGTATATGACAGAGAGTTCTCAAAGTGGTGCAGCACTGTAGTGCACAAATGTTTTTAATATTGTATGCATCATAATGCAAGTTGGTGATATCAATTAGCAGAACTCAACTGCAAAGAAGCTTAGGCTCTTAGAGCCTTTCCCTGAACACACATAATTAAGAAGTAACTACTAAGCACCTTTGTGTCATCAATAGTGAAACAATGTGATGTGGGACGAGTTGCAGCAGCTTATATGAAGCAAGAAGACCGTCGCACGCCCAAAACACAATGAAAACCACAAAGTAATAACAAACGCAAAATGGGTAATAGAGATAGAATGGAGCAAGACTCATATCTTTTGATCAAAAATAGTCCAAGGAACAAAGCACACTACCTTCTTGTTTTAGCCTTCAAAATGACAATTTTACCGGTGAAAAAATGTTTTAGAATATTCATAATTTATTTTCAAAAAATCAAATTTAAATTTCGTCAACTCTCCTTGAGTCTTGACAAATTAAAGGTTTACTTTATTTGGTTAACTCAAAATAATTTAATTATAGAAATGTTTAATTAGGCCTTTAATTCTTACTTTAGATAGAATTAGGGTTTTAGTCTTTATGCATTAAACAACCTTCATTCAGGCTTCAACAATATTTCTTAAAATTGTCTCTTTTTTTTTTTTTGATTTTTTGTTGTGTGGCACATCTTCAATGTGGATTCTAGTTCGTGTACAAGTGTTTTCCCAAAGGGGCTTATAATTCACCCTCTGACTCCTTCCTTGTCATCCTTCCTTGTCGAGCTGTCTTTAGGCGTTGATCAATCACTCAATCATAGGGCCATTGTCATTGTCTGATCACACTCGGCATTATGTATTTACTTGTCCTATTTTTATCCCATCTCAGTACTATTGCATCACAATGCCCACTACATAAACTTGTANTCTGTCATTGTCTGATCACACTCGGCATTATGTATTTACTTGTCGTATTTTTATCCCATCTCAGTACTATTGCATCACAATGCCCACTACATAAACTTGTAACCATTTGTATAGATCTTATCAACCCTAAACCCAAACTCTTCCAATATTAACAAAGTCAATGCCATGACAATATCCAGATAGATGGCTCTACAATTGAAATTCGTATAAGTGTTATGCAATTTAACAAACCCTAATACCTAATTTCTTCACCTTATGATGTCCTTTATGAACGAAAATGACAAATGATACAATGATAGTAATATTTGGGAAAGGTTTGATTCTTCAAAGCAGTGACGTTTCTCATTTCTCGTGTACAGAGGGCATATGAAAGTTATGTGGAATCTTGTCTATAAATGAAGATTTCTAACAAGGAAAGGTTCCGAAAGTACTTGTCTAGAGAGAGAGGTGGAGAGAGATCTAAAGAATTGAATTAGGTTCACTCATGCCACTGTCATATATAAGTTGAAATGGTAATTTTAGTTGTTGTCCAGTCTGCTTCTACATGAACAAAACAAAGAAAGAGCTTCACCGACAACAAAAATGATGCAACTAGATTGCCACCGAGTTACAAAACAATGTTTAATTTAACTTTTTGTCAAGTACCTCTACACATTAAATCCCCAATGTTCAAACAACAGACTCAAAAACCCTCCCTACGTTTTTGGACAAACAAAAAAAGAAGACAACATGCTGGTTCTGTTGTAGAAGAAGAAGGGTTAGTAATATCAATTCATGTTTTGATATCATAGTTAGCTATTCCACTTTGGTCCAAAGACACAAGGTGATGAACCCATTTTTGAATGTCATGGAGATAAATGTATTTCTGAGCCTAACCACGCGGCGATTAAAAATAGTTAACCCTAAAAAAATATGAGCATACAAAGTGTCCCTTGGAGTATTGGGGGTGGGGGTAGCTCAAATCAAAATGGTTAATNGTCATGGAGATAAATGTATTTCTGAGCCTAACCACGCGGCGATTAAAAATAGTTAACCCTAAAAAAATATGAGCAGACAAAGTGTCCCTTGGAGTATTGGGGGTGGGGGTAGCTCAAATCAAAATGGTTAATGTCCTACAGTGAAGGTAAGCGCTTCAATCCAACTCTAATCTTCTTAACTGCCAAAAAATGAAAGTAAAATAGCATCCAAGATTGTGAAATTCAAGAGGGTGTACTGGAAAAAGCACAGGACACTTTGTGCTGCCATTTCTAAAACCAAGCCAAAAGAAATGTTGTAAATGAACAACTAGACCTGCCTGATGCTTAGGTATGTTTGCATCTGCAAATAGGACAAGCTTTATGTTTGGTTAGTCACTCTGATTTGCTATATTTCAAGAAGTAGTTCTGCCATGAGTCAAGTAAAACAACACAAACACCACCACAGGAAATTGCCTCAGATGGGACTACAATCTCCCTCTCTCTCTCTCTCTCTCTCTCTCTCTCGTGTATATATATATATGAGCTCTTGACCCCGTGACAGTGGGGTTGGGATTGTACCACAGACAACAAGGTACAAGGAGGCCAGGGCACAGCCCCTCTGAATAGAATACAGTAGCCGGCCTGGAAAGATCTTCTCCCAGTCTCGCTTCATGAGAACCGTAATTTTCGAATGTACAAGCGTACAATAATTCTACAAGAACCTCAGCGAAGATATCAAAGTTTGAACTTCATGTGTTTAAAGTTGGGCTAAAGTTCAAGATCTCTGTCTCTCTCTCTCTCTCTCTAAATGGTTTCCTTAGCCCATATGCTTCCTGTAAACCCTAAACATCATGGGTAAAAGCCAAAGGTTCAAGCTTTGCTTCTCTGTTCCAGTATATCTCTGGCAAGTTTTTACCAGATTCAGGAAAGCATATATAGATTCATAGGCCATTATTCAATATCACCGAAAAGAGAAGAAAACAAAACAAAAACTAGGCAAAGCTTCAAAATTTCTTTCAGTGTAATTTCGTGGCAGTTACAAAGCAATG